GCACAGGGTCGTCTCTTGGATTCGGCGAACTGTTGCTCCGCCTTGGGCCGCGTTCATACAGACGGCATCCGCGGCATCCGTGGCCTCCGCGGCCAGGCGCGAAGCGTATGCGTCGCGGCCTCTTGATGGGGACGCTCGAACGCAATCAATACCTTGAAAAATGGGTTTCAGCTGATCTGGTTCAACTGGTCCCAACAAATGGGAACTCAACTGCAGCAAAATTTCGCCCTTGGGGTGTCCCTTTTTAACACATTGGCGACAAGGCGCCATTTCGCGTGTCTGCCGCGTGGGACAAAGCAGTTTTTCCCTATTTTCGAAGAATGCGCATAAATGCTAGGGCGTTTATACGCCAAAAAAATTGAAGAATGGTCAGAAATTATTGCAGAAGCTGGTAAGGCTTCGCTATTTCGTTTCCACTTTTTTTCCATTTTTCATTCTCATCCATTTTCCTATTCCACAATGCTTTCCCGGACAATAAGTGCATGGTGAAAATTTGAAATGTTTTCAAATGGTTTTCTTCCAGGATTTTGTTCGAATTGCTTTCTGAAAAATCTCTCTTTTTCACCATGCACAGCGATTTCTAAGCCGGAGGATGAAAAATATGGTTTTCGTGTAGAATGGTGCATTGTGGCAACAATGAATGCTGGAATAGTGCCATCCCCACTCAAAACACCTCTTGAAAATTACCACTATGCACGTAACTACATAAATCAGAGGGGAAAACCGGGATTACAGCATGATTATCAAGTTTCGAATAAGTTTCGGCGTCCCAACGAAGAGGCCGCGACGCGTACGCTTCGCGCTTGGCCGCAGAGGCCGCTGCGGAGGCCACGGCCTCCGCGGCCTCTGCGGAATTTCCAAATCGATACGTATACTTTGCTTGCTCTGAAAATTCCGCAGAGGCCACGGATGCCGCGGATGCCGTCTGTATGAACGCGGCCTTGAAAGGCATGAGTCATCATGAAGCAGAGGCAACCACGCTTACACCGCTAACACACTAGGAAATGTGTTCGCACTCACTTGCGACTGTTGAACACCAAAACAGAAGGAAACACGAAATGAGATCAACTCACTGAACAAGATTCCACGAGATAGACTAATTTGAATCTTTAATTAAACAAGATTTTCGCGTTCCTCGTACTCCGGTTCACCCCTTCTCCAATCGTCCTGTTCTTTCTACTTTGCCGCCTCGATATCCTCGCCAGTACTCACGACTTCTACTCCTTATGACACAGGGGGATTCAGCTTCTCCAACCTCTTGTAGCCTCACTTGCTCTCTCAGTGTCTGGAAAGCATGGAACGCAGCTATGCTTGCGAAGATTTTCCGGAGTCTTCAAGTAGCGCGAAAATAGAAAGCTCAGTCAATCCAGTATGATTTTCCATCACTATATTCTCATCTGATTACACGCCTCCAATATTCCAAACTGATACTCAACCCTTACTCTCCATGACTTCTCCGATGCTCCCAAAACTTCCAGTACAATCACGCAGTTGTCGAATAAGATTGCGACGTACACTGCGCGCAAGCTGTGTAAACTACACACACTATTTTATACCTGGCGTCCAAATAATGAACGCGCGTTTTTTATAACACGCTGCATTCTGCCCCGTTTAATTCATGAACCCCACTTTATTTTGTTCGCCAGGCGGCGGCTCCCCACTGCGTCCAGCGGCGCAATTTTGAATTCTAAACAGCGCTGGTGTGGCGCATGTACCCAAAACTCTGAACACCGTAAAATCTCTTCCTGTTATTATATACGAACGAACGAATAAACTATGTACTGAATGGATAACCTTATTTTCTCTTATAATGGGTAAGCGCGCTGCTCCAGTGTCACATGCTGGAATCCCACAAAGTTGAATTATATCCAGTGTATTTCTAAGCATGCTACTACTCTCCTTGCTATATTCTTTTTTGCCCCTGCCATGTTTCCATCAGAACGGCCAATCAGTCATAGGTCACGGTGTTTTTCACATTTCCTGGAATTCTAATATTTGTGAATGCGTCGCCATTTTCTCCGTGCTTTCATTTTCGATCCCATTCTACATTACCCTTTCTTGAACCTGTCTTGCATGCACTTTATATATCCCCTTCACATTACCATTGCTTTGTGGCGTAGAGAATCATCAGGTTTCTGTCATGGCTTCCGAGATATTCGCGGTGAATGCTGTTACCGCGAACCCTGGCGGAAAACCACGAAGATGACCTTGAGGTGTTGAGCAAAACTTTTTTTAGGAGCGTGCCATTTGTTTTTTTTTATTCTGAAATTTCAAACCTTCCCCTTCATTTCTCATTTTATGTGTTCCTGAAGCCCCTTTCCTCTTTCAGCGACCATTCAGTGACACAAACCAATATACAAATATAATACTCGTGGTTACGACCCTCCTGGCAACCCCTACACCCATCCCCCTCCCTGAAAAGGAAGAGGGGCTCAGGAACACATAAAATGAGAAATGAAGGGAAAGGGATTGAATTCAGAAAAAAAAACAAAAATGCGACTTTCGGTACAGCTAGTAGCCGCTACAGCTGTTAGCGCGGGCGTAGCGCTAAAAGTCTGAACGCTGCCTAAAGAAGTTTTGCTCAACACCTCAGGTCATCTCGTGGTTTTCCGAAGGGTTCGCGTAACAGCATTCACCGCGAATATCTCGGAAGCCATGACAGAAACCTGATGATTCTCTACGCCACAAAGCAATGGTAATGTGAAGGGGATATATAAAGTGCATGCAAGACAGGTTCAAGAAAGGGTAATGTATGTAATGCGGATCGAACATGAAAGCACGGGAGAAAGATGGCGACGCACTTCACAAATATTTAGAAATCAGGAAATGGTGAACAAACTCACCGTAATGAGAGGTGGTCCGTTCTTGATGGGAACATTGCAGGGGGCAAAAAGAATATTGTCAAAGCGAATGTTAGGACAAAACTGATCATAAATCAACTTGTGTGGGATTCCAGCATGTGACACTGGAGCAGCGCGCTTACCCACTATAAGAGAAAATAAGGTTATCCATTCAGTACATAGTTTATTCGTTCGTTCGTATATAATAGACCAGGAGAGATTACGGTGTTCAGAGTGTTGTGCACATGCACACAGCCGTGGTTGAATTCAAACATTGCTTCGCTGCGCGTGGCGACAGCCGCTGGCGACAAATAAGTGCCGTTCGTTTAATATCACTCAGGTTGGCTGGTAGAGGTTGGTTTTCGAAGTGAACTCGAGCTGGCATGATCACTGTTTGTTGGTTTGTACTATGCACCTGCTATAAACCAACTAATATGCCTTTTTGACCCTTTATGATCTATTTACTTTAGTCATTGCGTACGTTCCTCTATACTTCGGCTTTTCTTAGATAAGTACTACATTGTTCTCAGCTATGTTCCAAAACGAGTTTAGACTAGAAGCGTTGCAGCGTAGCACATCAATTAAAATGATCGGTTATAACTGAAAGACTTGCGAGATCATCATTTTGGTTTTAGCCTTGTCGTTCCATCGTTTTCCCAATGTCCCTTCTTGAAAACAGTTGGTTAAAATTCATCAGTCGACTGGGAAACATTCCGAATGGTAGGACTTCAGTTACAAACACTGGATGCTTTTCCACCATTGTTCAAAGTTCCATATATTAGCCAATTCCCTCACCAATTTTTTTCCGGGAATTTATAAAAGCTCCTAGAAAGCTCATGCTTTGTAAACAGTCGGGTTGTTCTACCTTGAATATGAGTTCCAATGTTTTCCTGGGGGTATATTTTCCTAGCACTGTTTTGGCAGGGGCTAGTTAGCGTCCTACCTGTGGGTGGCCGTGGTTTGCTGCATGTCTAGGCGACGTTCATACCTTCCGACGGTGAAGAATTCAAGAAACTGTGAAGACTACTGAATACATTGCGAATTCAAGAATGGAAAAACGCTCAACTGAAAAGTCGGCGAAAATACAGAGTTACTTTAGCTAGTTCTACAGTTCTGCGAAGCTTCCGACGAGTTAGCAGAAGCAAAATGTAGTTTTTGACAGACTTCCGGAGGCAGCAGCTTTCCTTTTTGTTGATTCTCTGAATCCAGCGGCTCTCTGGTTCTTCTTTGTCGCACTACCGCAGTGAATTAGCTCGATATATTTCTTTATTGATTAACTGGATTAGTCTGGCCTTTTTGCCTTGCTAAATGAATACTCGATTTCTGAGCATTTGATAAGTAATACAAAGAATAACACTTCTATTCAAATGTCTTTTCCAACTCTGCATGCCGATAGCATAGCATTCGTTCGTTCTCAGTGCTATCCATTCCTAGCAGTGGCGAGACGACTCATTCTTAGACTGCGTTCATACTTTGCGGCAGCGTCCACTAATGTGCCACAGCGTTCAAGCGAACGTCAGCTTCAGCGACTAGGGAAGTATGAGTATCGACGACGCGACGAGTCATCCTCAGACTGCGTTCATACTTTGCGGCAGCGTCCACCAGCGTGACAGCGTTTCGACGAACGCCAGCGACTAGGGAAGTGTAGGTATCGATCTAGCGAACGCCAGCGTCTCGACGGACTAGAGAAGGATAGGTATCGATTAGCGAACGCCAGCGTAACGAGCCTACGCGGCGCCGGCGACTAGGAAGGTAAAGATATCAATCTAGCGTCCACCAGCGACTAGGTTAGTATGGATATCGATTCAGCGTCCACCAGCTTCTCCAGGGCTTGGGGAAGGATGTTGATCTAGCGAAAGCCACCGTGCAGTAGCGTTTTTGCGGGCAGTTTTGCCCAAGTTCACAAGTGCTGTCGAGAACGCTGCTGCAAGCTGGTGGACTTCGCTAAATCGTTATCTATACTTTTTTAGTCGCTGGTGCTGGTATACGCTCGAGACGCTGGTGGATGCTGACGCATGGTATGAACGCAGGCAGACCTTGCATATCCACTACTACTGTACGCCTGAATGAGTCTTCCTTGTCCGCATAGCTAGCTGTTCTCTGATCCACAGTTCTGACTCAAACTCCTGGTCAACATGTCGTGATTATCCTCTTTCTTAGATGTTCGATGGTGGACACGAGAGTAGTGACGACGGCGACGAGCACAATGACGAGAATGCGCTGATCAGGCGGAATGATGGCAATCAAGGAAGTTCCGATCGAGAGTCACCTGATGAGTTTGCGCGAGCAGGGGAGGATGTTAATGTAAAGCCTAATTTATAAGTCTGTCGTTTTTTTTAACACTATCTCATCTCTGAATAAAATTTGTGTAACTGCAATGTTTTCATTTCAGTTGCAACTTGGAATCCGAAATGGCGTTAGGCAGTTCCTTCGCATTCTAAACGCGCGAGTGAGAAACGGCAATAATCGAGCCATGGATGCAGCTATGCGTGACTTAGACTCTTCAGAAGAGGAATCGTTCGACGAAGAAGACGGTGCTTCTTCTGAAGGAAATGGTAGCGCGGCAAATCCGAATTTCGATGTACAAGTAAGTTCAATGTTTCATCAAGCATGTTTGGTAACTAAGGTGAGGAGCACAAATCTGAGAAAGCCTTGAAGCTCGGCCGGTCTTCCGTGATTCGTCGTCCCATTTTTCACACCATGAATGCAACGATGCCGCTGTTGGCGTGACCGTTCCCTCTTTGGGACGCGCCACCGGATGCATCAGTGACTTGCGTGGTCACATGAAAGTAACTGCTTCTCTGTTATCTTCCCAGACGAATCCACTACCAATTTGTCGCGCCCGGAGAGATGGAAGGCTCAGTTGCCCCGGCTGGGGGCCATTTCGGCATTTGGCACCCGAGCTACTTATGACATTCGGCG